ACAGCTCTATAAAGATATGCAGAAAGCTGTTCACTCGAACGTCCAGATATGTATGAAAATTTTTAAGAGATTCTCCAGCATACCAAGTCACCTAGGGCTTGATAATACGGAAAGATTCCCACCAGAGCTCAATCTTTTTGATACCGTAGGTAACTAGGATGATTAAATTTTTACCTTAGGGGGAGTGTGAGCAATATGGCTTATTCTGGATAATACCTTAGAGTACTCTGGGGTAGAAAGCCAGTATGTTAGCTGCTGACTTACGGTAGCTTATGGATGTAATTTAGGAGTGGCAAATTTTAAATAAATGCATCGTTCAATGTAAAGACTATGGTGGAGTGGTAGGAGTTATTGTTCTATGCTTCCATGCTGTTTATATAATTATATATACTATCACTAGGCCAATAAGTTGCTATTAAAAATTTAAAATTAAATAAATTATAGTTAAATTTAACTGATTAACTGCCTATAAGAGTTCCTTGCCCTTAGATTTTTTGACCCTATTAGTCTAGCCTCTAGTGGGTGTGCTTGTTATTGGAGTCATCACCAATTATAAATATTTTTCTTTGGTCAGTTAGAAAGTCTAGACAGTTGAATTTTTAAGAGCCTAATTTTTAGTTTTAACTTACAATAGATATTAACCTCGCGAAAACAGAATACCTATCTACAAGTAAAGAAGACATAGAAGATCTACAGATTGACAAAAACGTAACAATCAAATTAAAGAATAAATTCAAATACTTGGGATTTATAAACACGAAAAAGGCAACAACAGAAAAAGAAATAAGGCAAAGATTAAACAAGAACAACAATCCAACAACTTAACTCAGTATGGTGGGATGAACACCTAAATATAAAGACAAAAACACAGATTTCTAAAACATTACTGCGAAGTATGATGACGTTAGAGGGCTAAAAATTGAATTATAAACCAGAACAACAGCAGTAGTATAGTAGAAACATAGATGGAATGCTTGCGAATATGCAGCAGAGTCACAAGAATGGATAGGAGAAGTAATGACGAAATAACCACAGAACATTAATAGAAACAGACATACTAACATATACAGAACAAAAAAGCCTAAAGTGGTATGTGCATGTGAGATGAACTAACGTCAGCTGATGGATAAAAGGAATAACCGAATAGCCAGGAGGAAAAAAAGACGATTGTAAAGATCCTGGAGGAACGAAGTAGATGACATCATGAGTAAGAGGAGCCTTAACGATGAAGAATGAGACAACGGAAAGAGATGGAAACAAGGCTCAGCTGAAATATATATATATATATATATATATATATATATATATATATATAGATATATATATATATATATATATATATATATATATATATATATATATATATATAGTTTGAGTTTAGTTCTTGAACCTTAATATATATTTTTTAGTGGATTCTCTTGGGCTTAGGTTCATAAAAAAAAATTTTAGTTTGATACTAAGACATTTTTATATATATTTTTTCCGACGTTTCGGCAGGAAATCCATGCCTTTTTCAAGAATATATATTGACTTAAAAAACATTCTATGACAGACATAATATGGTTTAAAAAATAAACTTTTGACTTACCAAGCATGTAAAGATTTGGTGTTAACAATTAGACGTCACAATTAAAATAATTTTAAAACATAGGACATACCCACTAAGTCACTAAAAGTAAAATGTATTTTAAATCTAATGTGTTGTTTATTGATGTTAGCTTATCGTTTAAACAATCAGTTATTTTAACATCATATGCGTTCTGAGATTGACTTATGTATATTTAAATTAAGTTAAAATATATTTTGTTCAAATTTTTCACATCTTTTTTATCATTTATTGCGTTATTATTTTTTTTATTTGTATAGACTCTAGAAGCTCTCTCTTCTTCCTGTTGGCTTCACTTTTTAGGATCTTGGTTTGCTCAAAATCAAATTTATGTTTTTTTTCGTTTTCATGTTTTGTGAGGGCGGTTGAGTTTTTTTTGTCATATTTGTGGGAACGTATTCTTGAATTAAGTAGTTGACTGGTTTGTCCAATATAAACTCCATCACAATTCGAGCAGGGAATTTTATATACAACATGTAATCTTTTAATAGAGGGGTTTTTGTTTTCAATCTTGTAAAATTCCTTTTCAAAAGATTGTGACCTTTATGAGCAACCGTAATAGTATGTTTAGACAGAAGATTTGCTATTTGTTCTGATAACCCTTTTATATAGGGGAGAGACATATAGTTTTTCTTTACCGTGTTGGTTTTATTATTATTATTGTTATTGTAAAATTTATGCAGTCGCGATTTGAAAGTGTTGTCGATAAGGTGGTGTGGGTATGAATTAAGTGTAAGTGCTGTTTTTGCTTTTTTAATGGCCTGAGGTCTATTGATAGGATCGGATAATCTAATAGCTCTATCAGCTAGTCCGATAACTACTGATTTCTTTTGAGACAGGGGATGATGAGAGTTGAAATTTAGATATCTCGACGACCAGGTTTTTTTGGTGTACAATGAAGTGGTTATAGTGCTATTTTCCCTATGCAAGGTCAGGTCCAGAAAATTAATTTGATTATTTTTTTCAATTTCTAATGTGAATTTTAGTTTTTGGTGAAAGTTATTAAATTCATTTAGTAAAATATCCATTTTATCCTCTGGTGCTGCACTCAAGCAGTCATCTATATAGCGATAGAAAAAAGGTATATCAAAATCTATTTTATTTAAAACAATTTCTTCTAGATGCTCTAAATGCTAAATTTCTGCTAGCAGTCGAAACAACATTAAAGTCAACCTATTTCCAATATAAAAACAAATCTTCCAACAAACAGATGGATGTGCTATGGGTGCTAGCATATCCAGTGCCATCGCTCAATTAGTTTTAGAGCATCTAGAAGAAATTGTTTTAAATAAAATAGATTTTGATATACCTTTTTTCACATTAGAAATTGAAAAAAATAATCAAATTAATTTTCTGGACCTGACCTTGCATAGGGAAAACAGCACTATAACCACTTCATGGTACACCAAAAAAACCTGGTCGTCGAGATATCTAAATTTCAACTCTCATCATCCCCTATCTCAAAAGAAATCAGTAGTTATCGGACTCGCTGATAGAGCTATTAGATTATCCGATCCTATCAATAGACCTCAGGCCATTAAAAATAGCAAAAACAGCACTTACACTTAATTCATACCCACACCACCTTATCGACAACACTTTCAAATCGCGACTGCATAAATTTTTACAATAACAATAATAATAATAAAACCAACACGGTAAAGAAAAACTATATGTCTCTCCCCTATATAAAAGGGTTATCAGAACAAATAGCAAATCTTCTGTCTAAACATAATATTACGGTTGCTCATAAAGGTCACAATCTTTTGAAAAGGAATTTTACAAGATTGAAAACAAAAACCCCTCTATTAAAAAAATCACATGTTGTATATGAAATTCCCTGCTCGAATTGTGATGGAGTTTATATTGGACAAACCAGTCAACTACTTAATTCAAGAATACGTTCCCACAAATATGACAAAAAAAAACTCAACCGCCCTCACAAAAACATGAAAACGAAAAAAAACATAAATTTGATTTTGAGCAAACCAAGATCCTAAAAAGTGAAGCCAACAGGAAGAAGAGAGAGCTTCTAGAGTCTATACAAATAAAAAAAAATAATAACGCAATAAATGATAAAAAAGATGTCAAAAATTTGAACAAAATATATTTTAACTTAATTTAAATATACATAAGTCAATCTCAGAACGCCTATGAGTTAAAATAACTGATTGTTTTAACGATAAGCTAACATCAATAAACAAGACATTAGATTTAAAATACATTTTACTTTTAGTGACTTAGTGGGTATGTCCTATGTTTTAAAATTATTTTAATTGTGACGTCTAATTGTTAACACCAAATCTTTACATGCTTGGTAAGTCAAAAGTTTTTTTTTAAACCATATTATGTCTGTCATAGAATGTTTTTTTTAGTCAATATATATTCTTGAAAAAGGCATGGATTTCCTGCCGATACGTCGGAAAAAATATATATAAAAATGTCTTAGTATCAAACTAAAATTTTTTTTATGAACCTAAGCCCAAGAGAATCCACTAATATATATATATATATATATATATATATATATATATATATATATATATATATATATATGTATAACAGAAGCAGATTACGCAAAAAGATAGAAAAAGAATAGAAGTAGAAAAAATGAATTTTGTAAGGAGGGCATGTGGTGTATATAAAAAAAATTCATACCAGGAATAAAGACATTAAACGGAGGGACAAATAGTGTATATTCCAGTGTAGATAGAATTGAAACGGGACAACTAATGTGGTATGGTCACGTGAAGGGTTTGAACGAATATGGATGGCCAAAGAAAGTTTTAAATTGCATACCACAACAAAGAAGAAGAAGAAGGGAAAGGCCTTCAGTTGCCTGAGAAGAAAATGTACGACACATAATAAGAGATAGAGCCATCAAAGAAGACGAATGGATGACCAAGTAGCAAAAGATGATTACTAAATTTACTAGACAGTTGGGACTGGAAAGTTGGTGAACCAAGGTTGGTGAAGAATAACTTATATTAAACGTGTATTAATAATTTTTTATTTTAATCTTTATCAGTCTGAGTGTGAATTTGCAGATTAAAAACCTATAAAAATTAAGAAGGCTGTGTGTTGGACTCGATTTCACACAGTAATTAAATCACATTTTGTTTCATTTATTAAGTTAATATTTCGTTAACTAATAATGGACATTAACATTTCCAAAGTGATAAAAAAGTGTAACAAACGGCGCTATAAATAAGAGAAATTGCTTGAGTTTAAGAGATCTAAAAGAATAATTCTTTATATTTTTTTGTGAACTAAAATTTAAAAGATTGAGTATTGCATTATTCAGTATCACCATCAAGGAAATTATTAAATAATGTAAACTACAATTAGTAATTATATTTATTTTAAATCTAAAATACCCATACATGTTAAAATATTCATTTTTTCTACATAAATAAAATACAATTCCATTAACTATTTCTTCTTTTTATTTCATTACACATTTCTTGAACCATTTCCTTCAATTTATTTTTAAATGAATCGTGTTTCATAAATTGCTCCAGGCTTTCTTTTCTATCTCCTGTATAATATTGCACAGCTTTCTCTGGGCTTGTATTCATCTCTTGCAATAAATGTTTAGGAATGAATAAAATTTGAGCATAAGTAGCCGCTATACATATTCCTGTAAGTCTAAATTGGTTAACTGCTTCTAAGAATGAAGTATAATTTAAAATTTCGTTTATATCAATATCATATAGAGAAAGTATTCTACTTAATTCTGCATGATAAACATCTAATAAAATCTTCATATATTTTTCTCGATTTGGTTTGTTAGTATTCAGATATAACTGAACTAAAAGTTCTACAACAGGACAACAATATCTAGAAAGTTGATAATCTATAAGTTTACAAGATTCTGGCTTATTATCTTCATTAAATTTCATTAAGATATTATTGGCATGAATATCTCCTTGGCAGAGAACATTCCTAAACTTCTTTGATTCACCAACATTTTTGTACATTTCTTTGAAAGCTTCTTTCACCATTTTCTTTAATTCCGATAATTCCGTACCTTGGGTCACATCTGGAAACTGTTCTAAGATATAGGACACCATAAATTTACACCCTTGTAATAGCGCAAGACCTGCTGGTTCATGTTCGTTTAATGCGTACTCTTTAAGATTCTCCTTAAATAATTCACTGATCCGTATTTCTTTACCAGATTTTGCAGACATCTTTTCTTCGTACACCCACGAAGAGGCGTGCAATTTGGCTAGTTGCTTAGTAACCATTTCCAGCCAATCATATTCGGCGTGCAATTCTATAGGTTTTAAAACATATTTACTAAATGATAAATCTTCTAAGACAATACAGTCATCGTTTTTGGTCAGAAAACACTGAGGTGCAACGTCTTTAATTTCTCTGATACCCAAAGAAAGGACTAATGGCATAAATGTACTATACATAAATATTTCTTTCTTAAAACTAGCTTTAGCAACTAATATTGTTATTTCGTTTGTAACTGGCAAATATTTTGCAAAACATCGAATGATTTTATCTTTGTTATTAAAATTAAAAAATATATTAATTTTAAAGTAATCTCCTAATAAACCTGGGTTTCCTTCACTGTGTGCAACCTCAAATTTATTGAACATATATTCGCTAGTTCCTAAAGTTTTGGTTACAATTTTGTAGCAATCTTCTCTAAATATTTGTGGATAAAGAAGTACTTCTATTAATTCACTTACAGATTCTAATACTTTAACCTTACCTTGTACTTCAGAATGTCTTACCATATCTAGCTTAACGTATGGTACAAGGTCTTTTATTTGAGCTTCAAACTCTTCTCTAGTTGGTAACCTCTCGGATCCATCCCATTTAGTTGTAAAATTGTTTAAATTATTGTAATACGTATCTAATAATATGTGGTAGTATTTTTGCCTTTCCAATTGGGTAGTGTTGATAAAAATTGTTAACAAAAGGTTAAAAACCATCGATACTAACCTTTGATTACTAGTTTGGTACAAGCTGTCATATTTTTTTAGCAAAATTTCCACTCCACCACTAACATCGTTGAAATTTGCGGGATCTATGTTTTCTTTTATAATATTTAATATATCTTTTAACTGTTCACTACCGATCGAAAATTCACAATCTCCATTTTTGTAATTTGACTTATTTTGAAGCTCTTCAATATGGTTTACTGACAATTTTTCTATTAGTTTCCTAATGTTATTCATATCGTCTATATTGGTCATATGTAACAACTGACTAACTTACCTTGGTAGACGATATTTGTATCTATTTATATTTTATTTGTTAAATTATTATTTAAAATACACCATTATTTTATACGTTAGTTTTTTTATAATCAGCGGCGTAGATACACTTTAAATGTCCATTTTTTAATAAATAATTTTATGCTAAAAATAACAATAGAATTATTAACAAAAAATATTCTTTAGATCACAGGAGGAAATAATAACATTATTTATATCAGAATCGTCGCTGCTCAATCAATCAATCAACCAATCCCCTCATATTATAGCTTACTCTATCCGACATTGTCCTATGACCTAGTTAAGAAACTGACTACTTTGTTTTAAGTCAAGAAAATAACATTGCGCTTATGGAGATCAGTGTTGTCAAAACTCTCACTCACATGTTGCTATTAGATTGTCGATATAATATATTATTTATTCTAATCAGAGCCTTATTCAGCACTGTCTAGAGTTGTAGTTAATTAATTTCACTAATAAAAGGATATGTATAGTTGAATACAAAATATTGCATTATAAATACTTGGTTTTTTAATTGACAGATATAGGTATGTAATTATTATAGGTCTAATAAAAATGGTTAAATTTCACAATTATTTAACATTATATTGATTAACTCTTTAGATAAGATGTAACTAAAAAAAAAACAAATGCCGCTTTAATGTCATTTTCATGTAAGTAAAAACAACAATTACATACATAAAAAATGCATGTATTTTTAATAAAAAAATTTAAGATACATTATTTTAACAAAAAAAAGGTATATATGTTAATATCTTCAAAACTCAACAGTTTTCGAGATAATCGCATTTTACAAATCAACTACATAATTCTGATTAACGTAATTACTCGAGGCAATAAAAGAAAATTAAAGAAAAATATTAATACTTTTGAATTCCTCTATAAAATACCTTTAATAAGGTTATTAGTTAACAAAATGTTAAATAAAACAAATATATCAGCAGGATAATTAATAATAGGATTTAACAAAATAATAGAATAATTTATTGGATTTTACATCAAACATTTTACGTTTTATATTAAATTAAAGTTATAATCAAAACATCTTATTTACAAACCAAAATAAGGAATAGTTAAACTAAATAATATTAAACTTTTGTCAAAGTTAGTCTTCAAATGTCCAACATTTTTTTTTATTTATTTGTCAAAACATTCATTTGTCAGTATATATTATAAGTATTTAAAGTATACTATTAAATAATTTTTTGGAATTTCTATGAATTAAATAAATAAATTATTAATATGTGACCACATGATTAAGCAATATGACTACCACAAAAAATAAAACGTTCAGGAAAGTTATATTTAAATACTATTCTCACTTCTCTGTCTCTGTAATTTAACCATCTTGTATAAACCACATATTCCGACTTTTAAGTTTGATGACAATTTTTGCAATAAATTAATAAAATAATTTTATAAAAAATGTAAATAAATCTCATCATTCAAATTAGAAGGTAATTCGCATATCCGTAAAAAATCATTACCAATGGTTCCAAACCATACGACATGCATTTTAAATATGAATTTTAATTAAACGTATGGTTTGGAACCATTGGTAATGATTTTTTAGGGATATGCGAATTACCTTGTAATTGGAATGGTGAGATTTATTTACATTTTTTATGAAACAATTTTATTGATTTATTGGAAAAATTGTCATCAAACTTAAGGCGAAATATGTGGTTTATACAAGATGGCATAACCCCATTACATGACAGAGAAAGAGGAGTGAGAACAGTATTTAAATACAACTTTCCTGGACGTTGGATTGTTCGTGGTAGTCAAATTCCTTGGTCGTGTGGTTAGATATTAATATAATTATTTAATTCATAAAAATACAAAAAGAATACCTATTATTATACTTATTATATTTATAATAAGTACTGCATTACTTTTTTTAGAACCAATGATAATATTCGAGGAGAGAGGGATCGATAGCGGAATGTTTACCAGTCATTGAGTTAAAGCGAATTTTTTCCCCTGAGTTAAGCAAGACAAAGTCAGTTGAGCTTAAAAATCTTTCTGTAGTATCACCTCTTTTATCTGTAGATAGACATCCCCATATTGTACTATGTGCATTAAAGTCTTCTACTATTATTCGGGGTTTTGGAATTTGTTCAATTAACATTTCCAGTTGTTTGGCAGTGATTTCGGTATCTGATCGAATATATACATTGCATATAGAATAAGATTTTATTTTATCTGCTACAACCTCTAATTTAGATTGTAAAGGGATTTCCTCTGATTCCAAATGTGAATTAACATAAATGGATACACCGCCACTAGCTTTACTAACGTTTGTTCTAATTTTATGGTAGGCCTCATATTGTTTTAATGGGTATTTTTTATTTGTTGTGAAATGTGTCTCTTTTGTAAGCATATAACTTGTGGATGTGTTTCTTGAATTAAAAGCTGTAGCATATTGACAGGTTGAGTCATGAGGAACTTTAGATACTTCTACCATATGTAGAGTCCCCACTTCAGAAACTACTAATATTGAGTTGTTATTACAACCAGTCAAACAATTTATCCAGGATGCATCACCACCATATACATTAAATTACACCCAATTACTAGCATTCTGTAGAAGACGTTCATGGTTCTTCCACCCCTGTAGAACTGGGCCTAGAACACACACAGGATATACACGGGTTGGGATATATGCTAACTGAAATATATTCCATGTTGAACGAAAGAGCAATTAAATCTTGAATTACAAGAATTAAGAAAAAACTACTTACTTAAATAATCAAGATTTTAGTATTCATGATGACACCTCTGAAGATACTGACGCATCACAGGTAAATACTCCTTCGATTCAATCCGTATTTAAACATATACAGGGTGAGTCATGAGGAACTTTAAATACTTCTACCATCTGTAGAATCCCTCAGGGAGCATATCATGTGGCCACTAAAAAATGTTAACTCCTCTTCTTTATTAATTAACAGGGTGATTTGTGTAATTGACCATTTATTTCATTTTACTGTAGTGTTTATACGGCTCATTTGATTTTTTAATTTTTGCATGATATAGTACACTACTATCAAGCATTCGACTGGTATTATCTAAACTAAAAAATTTCAGGACTGGCTTTGGAAAAATTAATTTAGGGATTCGTATTAAATATTACACTCTGTATATATTTTTTTTAAAATGCAATACGTGATTTTCAAACTACATAAATAGCCAATGAAAACGACATATGCGACAATGTTGTCGCACTTTTATTAAATTTTTAGTGAACGATCAAATCTTACAAAAAATAGAACAACCATAATGAAGTATCAAATTATAAGGTATTAATTTAAACAAATGTTATAAATTTCAAACATTTTAATTAAAATGAATTCCTACAACATAATCTAATACGTATAAAATTACCATCTTTACTGTCACTTTGTATTATCTCTACGATAGAATCAATTGTTTTTCAATTTTAAATTTTTACTCATAGATCGTATTGGGGCAATATGGTGGTGATGCATCCTGGATAAATTGTTTGACTGGTTGTAATAACAACTCAATATCAGTAGTTTCTGAAGTGGATTTGTCTAATTTGATAATTTTTTTCTTTTTTTTTAATTTGCACTGGCTTTGGTTTTGTAAAGTCTGTTGATATAGTTTCTGTAGAAGTGGAGCAAGTTGGGTATGGCACTTCCGAGTAAGACCGTTTATTTTTATTATCGGTATCAGTGCTGATTTGAGCATCCATTTCTTCTCGAAATTCGTTATTTACATGTGTAATTTGATTTAGTTCGGGGTTAGTGGATGGTATTTGTAGTAGAAAATTTTCCTCAGTTTTGGGCTTTTGTGGATAAGAGGGATTTGGGTTACAGTCCGAGGACACGTGACATGCTTGGTCGCATTTGTAACAAGTTAGTTTATCGGAAAGAAAAATTCGGTACGAAATATTTTCAAAATTAATTAGGACGGAGTCGGGTACATTAAAATTGTCTGTAGGTGCAAAGTAAACTTGTCTTCGAAAACTATGTACATGGCTGTATTGCGGGTCTTGTATTCTAAACCAAAGGAACGAAATCAGAGACATTAATTTAAAACCAAAATTGATTAAAGACTATTTAATTATGTAATGGCATTGTTTAAATAGGACTAGTTAGTCAATCCTTATGGAACAAATGTTTAACTTTTAATCTGCCGTCATATGGCGGCCTCTAGTCATAAATTTTAAAAACTATTAACAGAAACTTAATTCTTTGCAGGATTCTACTCGACTATATTTCAGCTGTCTGATAACTAATGCGAACCTGTACACGGATGCCAGATTGTAAAGAATATATTATAAGACTATATTATAAGAATATATAAAATGCTTATTGGTATTATCGTTGTATGCATCTTATGAAAGATAACTTGACTATTTCGAGCGAATATTTCAAATTGTTTTTATACTTTGAGACTTGCTAAATATAAATCGGTCAGTAATCTTTTAACTGAAGTAGGTAAATGCTACCTTTTTTTTTTTTTTAATTTTTATTAGTTTACCAGATATTAAATTTGGTGTTATGATTTGTTAGAAAAGGATTAAATATTTAATTGAAATATACTCGATTGCTATCGTCTTAGAACACTTATGCGGAGGTTTATTTTTTAGTCAAGACTTAAGTTTTATCATTGTTTAAAAAAGAAAATCTTTTTAAACAATGGTGTTATGTATGTTTTGAGAAAATTAATTTTCAATCTTTTAATCTTTAAAATGACGATTGAAAATATAGTAAATTTATGGGAATGGTTTTGAAACAGATCGATATGCCACAACAAGGGGCAACACATATTTTAGGACAAATTAATCTATGTGTTGGGATAAAAGGAATAATAATTAACAAAACTTTAATAAATAGTAGCCTTATTTTATTTATTTATGTATTTTATAAAATACACACCATTTCTCTATTTCTGCTTACATTAATTTAAATTACAAAGTGATAGATATTGCAAAAATTAAATTCGCA